GTCCATTTCCTCGTACGACTTTCTGCGCGAGAGCGCCCTCCGGCTTAGAGTATGAATGAAACATACACTGCACAGAGTGTTTAGCGCTCGGCGATGTTCATCTCGCCTTATTCTGGGTCCGAATAAAACATCAGATCATGCACAGACTATCCTGTCTCTTTGAATTTAAATCTATATTTATTCACACCGGCTCTTGAAAACCTCTATGCGAACACACTTGCCCGAAAAAGTGCGGGGGACGAATTTACGTCATATTAAAAGTGGGGGGGGACATGTCCCCCACGTAATCTACGCCCCTGAACCCAATGTTCAAGGAATAGTTAACCAAAATTAAACTGACGAGCTGCGCAAAACCACGTTCATATTCGCGCGATTTTTTGCGCAGCTTGTCAGTGAACAACGGCTCTGTGTAGTTAATGCTGCTCAATGTGAAAGCCCGCAGGTGATGGAGATTTACCGCTGATTACAGAACCGGCTTTACTGATAAGATGCGCGTTAAATATCGCATGCAATTTATCGTGCAGCCCTATATATAGCATACATAATTAATCATACTTAGAAGTTTTGAAGCATAAGACCAAGATGGTCCAAATAAAGTGGATACTGCCCCATCTTTAATACATAAGCATTGATCTTTGAAATGCTGCAGACCTTTTGCATTCACAAACAGTTATATAACACACTACGTGAAAGGTAATATTGGGGTATAATGGGGCACTTTAAATTATTATAATTTGTGTTCTGCAGAACAAAACTAGATGGGTTTGGAACAACATAAGGCTAAGTAAATGATTACAGAATTTTCTGTAACAATTCAGATTATGGAACACATTCACTTTCAGATTTGATTAAAAAGAACAATGAGACCCTGCCCCAGCCTGGGAGAGGAGCTCGCAGGTGAGCGCCTGGTGGGCAGTTACGAAAAATAACATGGGTCCATCTCATTGGTTAGATTGGTGCGGGCAGGGAGGACTAGCTTTTGGCTGCAGAAACTAGCTTTTGGTACATGGAATGTGACCTGGGAAAGGAGCTGATGTTAGTGTGGGAGGTTAGGCTACCAGCTAGATATAATTGGCCTAACAAACTTCTATGCACAGCTCTGGAACCAAATTCCTGGAAAGGGGTTGGACTCTCTCCTTCTCTGGTGTCACTCAGGGTGAGGAAACGGGGGTGGGAATATTGACCAATCCCCGACTCGATGCCATTGTCTTGGAAATTAATTATCAGTTGATTAATCAGTTATCGGCCAGTGTGGTCCAACTTAATTATACCTATTGGTAAAAATCCACTATCGGTCGACCTCTAGCTCCAATTATAGAGGGATCCCACTTCTCAGTCTGCCAGGGAAAGCCTATGTCAGAGTGCTGAAAAAAGAGATTCTGGCTGATTGTTAAACCTCAGCTGGAGGAATAACAATGTGGATTTTTGTGGATGATGTCATCCTGATGGCTTCATTGAGCCTTCAGCATTTACTTGGGCAGTTTGCTGTTGAGTGTGAACTAGTGGAAATGAGCACCTCTAAATCTGAGGCCATGGTTCTGCACAGGAAAAGGGTGGATTGGCCACTTCGGGTAGGGAGTGAGTTGCTTCCCCAAGTAAAGGAGTTCAAGTATACTGGGCTCTTGTTCACGAGTGAAGGTAGATTGGAGCATGACATTGACAGGAGGATTGATGCAGTGGCAGCAGTAATTCACGCTTATGGTGAAGAGAGAGCTAAGCCTGAAGGTGAAGCTCTTAATTTACCAGTCAATCAACATTCCAAACCTCACCTATGATCATAAGCTCTGGGTAATGACAGAAAGGACAAGATTATGGGTACCAGCAGCTGAAATGAGTTTTCTCCATAGGGTGTCTGGGATGACCCCGAGAGAAAGGGTGTAAAGCTTGGACATCCGGGAGAGACTCGGAGTAGAGCTGCTGCTTCTCCAAGTTGAAAGGAGCTAGTCGAGGTGGTTCAGGCATCTGGTACTAGTACTAGATTTCTAATGTAATTACGTATTAAATGATATTTAATATGAAACGTAGTGCAGTAAAAAAGTACAATATTATGCTTTGGAATGTTCTGAAGTAAAAGTTTTCTATATAAAAACACTTATAACTTACAGACACTTGAAAAGTACTTTTACAGCAGAGTAAAAATACGTCACTACTGTCCACCTTTGATAGTAAATAAGGTATTAGTTTGTGGTAGTTATGTTAAGGTAGGTAGGGTTAAGGGATCTAGAATATGGTCCTGCAGATAAAGGCAGAATAATGTGTGCTTTATAAGCAGGGGAACTCCCCTGTTTATAAATACTAATAAACAGCCATTATGCTAGTAACCAGTTGCTAAAAAGCAACTAGTTACTAGTGAATAGTGTTCCCTATTCTAAAGTGTTACTGAATTTTTATTTCTGGATGAGCTGTGTAAATACAGTGTATTTTCATTTACTATGAATGTGCTCTAAAACCAGTAGTACACCATAACATAAAAATTACTTCAGTCTTAACACACTCTTGGTCTTCCTGGTGTATACACTGCCTCCAGTTGCTCACATATCCACAAGCACACGAAAGACCAACAAATCCAGTCATTGCCATTCAAGCTATTCCCTGTTGAAAAGTGATACCTGTGCAGGTGCCTTCTTCATCCGTATAGCCATCAGCACAGGTGAGGCAGTTATTGGCACCAGGTCCTTTGCAACCAGAGCATCTGGTATCGCATTCTGGGATATAAAATAACGGTAACATTTTATTTTAAAGTGTCCTTGTTTGACATGTAATAATTTACAGTTACTAACCCTAAGCTAACCCTAAACCTACACTAAGCACATGTTGGAAATTAATATTACTCATTACTTATTTGTGGAATTACACCGTTACAACACCTTAAATAAAGGGTTAACAAAATAAAACAAATGTTTTTGTTAACACCGTATTTAAACAAACCTTTACAGGAGAAAGAACCATCTGTATTTAGGCAGTATTGGTTATCTTTGCACAGAGCTGGATCTTCGGTGCATTCATTGATGTCTGTAATGGAAAAACACAGGACCAATATAGGTAAAGACAAATGTATGGGCCTTAGAAATACATATAAAAATAGGCAAAAATGTATAAAGTTACATAGTTAATTTATAAAGTACTTGAATTGTCACTTAAGTTCAAAAATGCAAAAATCTTATACACATATCTTATACACGCGTGCATGTCCTGTTGCAAGAAAAAAAAACCTTTTAAATGTGGATCCACGTTATGCGAGTTAGGAATAAAATAAATAACAGTAAAATAAGCATGGCTATATTTTATAGTAGTGTATTATGATTAAGATATACAGTAAGTGTTTGTGTGTATACTATTACAAAATATAGCAATGTTTATTTAACTTATTTATTATATCTAATTTCTGGATCAGCTGTGTAAAAACAGTTTAAGGCTCTATTTACAACAAAAGTGATAATTTACTATGAATGTGCTCTAAAACCAGCAGTACACCATCACATATGGCTTCCTTCATCCACACAATCCCAGTGTTCCTGGTATATACACTGCCTCAGTTGCTCACATATCTACAAGCACAGGAAAGAGCAAAAACTCTAGTCATTGCCATTCAAGCTCTTCCCTAAAGAAAAGTGATACCTGTGCAGGTGCTTTCTTCATCCTTAAAGCCATCAGCACAGGTGAGGCAGTT